CATACCTGTACAAAATAACAATTACTTACAAACCCAATAATAATAAGTCGGCGACTTCACTTGGATAATGGAGGACATCCTCTAAGAGAAAAGAATGTCATACTTTATTGTAAGGATAAAGTGACGAGGACCACTTTATATCTTGAGGCAATTACATAACCCATATTTGGTAAGGTTATCCACTTATCAACATATGCATGTGTATCAACATACAAAGATTGTCTCAATACATCCACTCGACTAATGCTACCAAAGAGTTCGATGTAATCATCCTTCCACTATTGAAGTTCTTTAATAAAATCTTGATGAACTAGAGACCATGATTCCTTACCCATACCAAGTTGTGTTACAACTACATTTTAACCATAATTTCCATCTGCTTCACATCAATAATGTCTTCAATAAATGGATGAAGCTCAACCAAAAAATAGTCCATAAATGATAAAACTCTCCTACGTTTAGAATCATGGGATGATTTATGAGATGAAGGGTGAGTTGATATGCTATCATTGATAGAAAGTAGGGCATCAACATGCTCTTAATAAGAAGGATCACGCTTAGTTGATCTATCTTTTTTTGACCCTGAACCCTTTCGCGCACCCTTTGTTTTTACCTTTTCAGGAGGTGGACACAACGAAGTTGTATCAAGAAATGCTAGCTCACACAATTTTTCAAGTATAATTACTTTTCCAACATTATCAAGTTCAATAAATCACTTTAGCAAAACATCTATATAAGTTTGCAACAATAACACATTACCTTCATGGTTTTTCCCTTGGTCACCAAAATTTAACCTCCTCCAATGAATATGAATTGTATGTAAAGGAATTGGCTGACACATTGTACTGTATCTATCTATCAAGCTCATATGCATAAGGTAAACCATGTGTAGTTCAAATTGTGCAACCACATATAGAACTATCAATACCAATGGTTTTAACCCAATCATATTGGTAAGCTATATGACTTAATGCGTTCCTCGATACAAATTCACGCAACTCAATGTAAAATGAATTATTATGTCTGTGCTCCACTTCATTTATACTTTTCTTGAATGATGCTTTAATATCTCTGTGTTGTAGTGTAATCATGTTATTCATAGCATCCCAACAATTACACATATCTCTTCTGTTATCTTAAAGAAACCTCTTCAACCTCCAATGTCCAGCCTCAACCATATTAAGTAACACATAATAACTAAGATAATAATTATAATTATTATTATATAAATAATTAGCATGATAATAATAATAATAATATTGACATAATATTTTTGACATAATTATTATAATAACAAAAAAATAGGATAATAATTATGATATATTTTCATGATAAATTATTTAAATAGAGTAATATTTATAATAATAAAGTAATAATAATAACAAAAGGAATTATTAGCGTAATAATAATTGTATTTAAATTATTAATTATCATACTAATAATTATAATATATTTTTATGATAAGTTATAGAAATATAAATTTAAGCTTAGCAATTGGTTGTTGTGTTATCCAAATGCATCACCTTATTTGTCCATATGGTGACAAAATTTTCCTTGTGCAGAATTAACCATGAATCTCTCACATAATCATTGAAAATAGGAAAATTTGAGCAAACCTTCTCAAATAATGTCAAACGTTGCACATATTGATCCTCATTAGAAGAATTCATAACATCATTCCATGCATCCATTACTAAGTCTCATTTCTCCTTCAGATAAACTATCATCTTGCATTTAGCCTTCACATTCTTGTTGATGTGAAAATGACATAACAAATTAGTAGAGCAAGGAAATATCATTTGTAAGGCCTTCATCATACCAAGGTCTCTATCTATTACAATCACTTGGGGTGTGTCATTGTCATTAATAATCAATCCTTTTAACTTTTGTAGTGTCCAAGTGAAGTTATCAACTCGCTCCGACATCACATAAGCAAATGCCACAAAGAATGTTAACTTCGTTGAAGTGACACCAACAATCTCAAGTAATGGAAACCCATATCTGTTGGTTTTATAAGTACTATCTATGAGCAAAATAGTGTGAAAAGTACCAAAAAGTTTAATGGAGTCTGGATGTGACCAAAATATATCTTTGATAACATTATAATTGTCCGCCTTTCTATATCAATACACATACTTATCTCGTTCTAATAATTTTAACAGATGTTTCATTTTTGTTCTAGAACCTTTCAAAGAGGATCGATATGCTTGTCGATAATTGTAAACATGTCTAATAGTACTGATATTATGCATATTATGATCTTTTAATGTAAGTAGTATGTTTCTTAACTTTACCATGTTCTTTGTCATTTCACCAACTAAAGACTTCTCTTTAACACTCAATTGACCAACATATGAATGACCCACTAATGTTTCCACTAAATCATGGTTGTGATAACCACACATTATCTTAAGGGTACATCCTCCAACCTTTTCTGAAGTTGTTCCCTTTAGTTTGAAAGGGCATTCACATTTTTTTGGGTACTAGTCACCCTATTAGATAATGCATTTTTGTTTGATCTTCTAAATTTTCTACTTCTTTTACAACTCAAAATTACAAATGTCTTCCTTTTATCACGTCCTGTATTTGTATCTGACCTAAAAATAATAAGGACAAATCCACTTTCTTTCACAACATGTTGTGCCCAATCCAACATAGCATTTCGAGATGAAAAAAGCTAAACATATAAATAGAAACAATTATTATTATTATTATTATTATTATTATTATATATTAATAACTTAACAAAATTAATTAATTGTTCAATTACCTTTTTAGTGATAAATACACCACAATAATCAATAGTCTTATTTTTTGTGCCATTGGTTGATATAGTCTTCACTTCAAACATTTTTCTAACATGTATTTCATGTGCACATATAAATAAAAATAAAGTTACAAAATAAATAAACCTATAACGAGAGATAAAAATATAATAATAGTATTGAAAAGAAAAATATAGTATTTTAGAAAATAATATATAAGTATGTTTGTGGATATGATCAAAAAAGGACAATAATAAGTTATAGAAAATGAAATAAATTTTTTTACTATTTCGGAAAGTACTTTCTGAAATAGTAAAGTTTTTGTTTTGGAAATTACTTTCCAGAATAATAAATTTTTGGTTAAAATATTAATTTGGTCCCTTATAATATTTGTTTGTTTCAATTTAATCTCACTTTAATTTTTGGTTTCAATTTGATCCCTAATAATTTAAATTATTGCAATATCGGACTTCCATCCAAATTATTTAAACGGAGTTAACGATTGGCCACGTGGGTGCCACGTAGATGCATAGGTGGATGCCAAATTTCTTGAATACACCTAGAACAAGAATGGCCCGTTTTGAAACCAGAATGGCTCGTTCTGAAACCAGAACGACCTGTTCTGATTGCACATGTTGTGTGTTAATTTTGCATCTGGAACGGGCCGTTCCAGATGCAAATTTAACACACCACGAGAACAAGTTGTTATTGTTGGGGTACATCGTCAATGACTTCAAGGGGAAGCACCATGTCGTTTCATCCTTGACTGTATAATGTCAATTTGGTAGTAAGTAGTTCACTCCAATTTGACTAACAATGAAATAAAACTTGCTACTATTGTCCTTAGTGATACACTGCATTGTCCTTAATGATACACTATATAGCCCAAATGTTTAGCAATTGAAGTTATCAATCCCCATTGACAATATTACCAAATCTAGTGTTTGAAATGCTTTGTACCTTGGGTCTTTTTCCTTACACGATTCACAACCGTGAACTATAATCATCGACTATTTGTGTTTGACATTCTAGAACCAGAACAGCCCGTTCTGGTTCCAGGTTTATTCAAGAAATTTGGTATCCACCTATGCATCTACGTGGCCAACAATTAACTTCGTTTAAATAATTTGGACGGAAGTCCGACATTGCAATGTTTTAAATTATTAGGGACCAAATTAAAACAAAAAATTAAAGTGGGACTAAATTGAAACAAACAAATATTATAAGGGACCAAATGAGTAGCATCCACGTGACCAACAGTTAACTCCGTTTAAATATGCATCTCCATTTATATATATATGAGAGATGTTATAATAACACTGGTGTAACTTTTACTAAGTATTACACCGCTCAATAACTTTATATTAAATGTGAATTTTGTAAATCCAACCATTAGATTGAAAGTTCATATCACTTTATACGTGTATATCAAATTTTGTTAAAATTGAACAATAATTTGAAGGTAATAAAAGTGTTCATATTTTAGTGTATTTTAAAATGAATATATTACGTCAATTTTGTTTTATAAAAATGAAGTATCAAATCATCTTGGATTAATATAAAATTTTGTATATATGATTTAAGAAATATGAACTTTCAATCTAACGGTTAGATTTACAAAATTCACAATTAATATAAAATTATTGAGCGATGTAATACTTAGTAAAAGTTAATATATATATATATATATATATATGATCAGCCAATGTCTAACGCGTAGTAACTAATGGGCCAAATGTTAAGGGCCATTGAGATCCGGAATCAAAAGTCCAATTGATAAAAGGCTCATGTTATATACACTTTTTTTTTACAAGTACACCCTTCCTTTATTTTTTTTTTTAAAAATTATAAAATATTGTAGTTTTTTTTTTGATTTTTTAATTTTATATTTTTAACTTTCAATTTGGTATTTTCTCCTTTTTTTCACATATTTTTTTTTTCTCTTTTAATTTTCAAAAGGAGATGTATATAAAAATTAAAAAAAGGAAGAAAGATGTGTGAAAAAAAAGTATTAAATTAAATATTGCAAATGTAAAGTTAAAAATTAAATACAAAAAATTAAAAAAAATTAAAAATATTTTAAAAATTTAATTATTTTTTAAAAAGAAGGTGTAATTATAGAAAAAAAATGATATATATATCATAAACCTTGATAAAAAATACGAAGATAACGCATAAAGGGTAATAAAGGAAATTAACCGTTAAATTAACAGTAAAAACTCTTCAAAGTTCAAACTCATCTTCCAATCTAGAGTATCCATAACCCTCTAACCCTAAAACTCATCGGCTGCCACTCCACCGCCTCCCATCCCTCTCAGAAGAAGATAGGTCTACAGGAGAACCGCCGGAAAATACAGGGCCGTGCCCGCTGGAGAAGAAGACAGGTCTGCGGAGATCCGCCGGAAGAAAAAGAAGTAAGAGAAAACCAACCGCCCAACCCGCGATCGCGCCGCTTCGCTTGTGGTGGCACTGAGCCGCTCCGCCGCTATCGCGGCCGCTATTGATAAAGCGTGGGTGTTGGTTTGTGGATTGTATACTTATCCTATTGATTGCGTTAGTGAAGTGGCAATAGCTATCATATCAATTAACAACTAGAGGTAAGAATTGGGTATCTCTTTTGTCTTTGGGGCAAAGCTCGACATGTGAAACCCTCTAACTGATAGATTCTACTGCGCCTTTGTCTTTGTTCCAATCTGTTGCGTATTTTGTTTTAGGGAGATACGAAATGCTTCAGCACCAAATAGTGCAGTCCCCAGCTAGGTTAGGACTTGCTAACCCTAATTCCCCTTCAATTCCAAACCCTACCCCTCCAAAGCTTCCTTCAACGCAGACCCATCAGCCTCAAGATCGCAACTCTTCAGCCCTCTTGTCTCTCCTCCCACCCCTCCCCAGAGCCCAAGCACTTCTTCTCCAAATGGCTTCTTTAGCTTCCAAACTCTTTGAAGTTTCCCCCAACCGGTCCCTTTGGGTCACTGCCTTCCGCGGAACCCTCCCAACTTTCCTCTCTTCCCATTCGTCTACCCCGCCAGACACTTCTCCAGCCACCGCAAAAGAAATCATTTCCCTCTTTACGATTCTCCAAACCCAAATCATTGAAGCTGTTGCTGAGCTCCAAGAGATTCTTGACCTCCAAGATGCCAAGCAGAAGATTGACCGTGAAATTCGCTCCCAGGACTCCACACTTCTTGCATTTGCCAACAAACTCAAAGATGCTGAGTGCTGCCTTGACATCCTTGTCGATGATTACTCTGACTATCGCCGCTCCAAGCGGTTGAAATCTGGGGATGATGATTCAATGACTTCATCAACTGTCTCCTCTCAGCTGAAGCTGTCGGATATACTATCTTATGCCCACCGGATAAGTTACACCACCTTTGCTCCGCCGGATTTCGGAGCCGGTCAAGCTCCTCTCCGTGGCGCACTGCCACCTGCACCACAAGAAGAGCAAATGAGAGCTTCACAGTTGTATAATTTTGCAGACCTTGATGTTGGGTTGCCTAAAGAAGTCGAAACCAAGGAGAAAATTGTTGAAGCTATTGTTGAGCCTCCACCACCGATGGATGCTAATGCAGTTGCGAATTTGTCTGCATTTCAAGGGATGTTACCTCCTATGCCACCAGGTTGGAAGCCGGGAATGCCTGTGCAATTACCGGATTCGGCAATTAAGCCCCCGCCTGGGTGGAAACCAGGGGATCCCGTGTCGTTGCCTCCCATGGACACGATTCAAATACCGAGATTTGCTGAGCAGCAAATGCAACATCACATTCCTCAGCCTAAGCAACCAGAAGTTATTCAAGTGCAGCCTGTTAATTTGGACCTTGGAGGAAGTGATACTAGTGATTATAGTAGTGATGATGCCAGCTCTGATGATGAAGATTGACAGGTTTGTGAAACTGATCAATCGCAAATTGATTACTGTATAGCTGAGGGGGATTTTTTTATAGTTATTTTTATGTCAGTGCTATGTTATATATGTGTCCTGTGAATTTGTTTCCTAAGCATTAAGTTTTAATATCATGTTTTCAGCATTGATAAGTTGAGTTGATTGGAGTAATAACATAACTTTTCATCACCTTGTTGCCTTTTTTGGTATCGTGTAATGGGACATAATCCTCTGCCTCTCGGGGCTCTTAGTGTTCTGTTGTAGGCTCTAAAAAGTTCAAAGCATATCTGTGCTTTATAAGCATGAAAATTTCTACCGAGGCACCTTCTGTATAAACATATATTTTTTTTTTGTTAAGTCATGAAAGTGCAATTTAAAAAGAAAACTTCACTTTTTAAATACTCACCCTTCTTGCACGGCTAATGTTCTTCATCTTGCTTTATTTCAAACATCTTTTCACTGCAAAATTTCCTTCTTTTTTTATTTTTATTATTTTTATTTTTTTTGCTTTTTAAAGTTTTTGCCTTTCTGTTTGGGACACAAAATGTCAATTGAATGGTGGGAAAAGCCAGCGTATCATTTGTTGTAAATCTCTTTTTGCAGGAAGAAACTACTAAGAAAAAGTATGGAGTGATGTTGCCAACTCACGCAGCGGTGTGTGGCGGAGGAGGTGATTGGAGAGGACGTGGGTTTGCACTCTTCCATTGCTATGGGTTATATCATGAACATAAGAAAGTTCTCTCTTTTGATGAAGTTGATGACAGAATTTATGGGCGCATATTATGAAAGAGAACTGTGATCCGAGAAGACATATTATGTTTTTCTAATGTGTTCTCAAACAAACCAAGAGTTTAATTTGTATATCAGTTAATATAATAAATGACTCTGATTCAAAACTTGTCCAACTTTGAACGAACTCTCACCCTAAGGTAAATAGTGTGATTCATGTTTAAATGGCTCTGCCCTGTCAAATGATGCATAATTCTTTAGGTATGATTCCCCGCGTGACAATGTTGTGTACTTCTGTTGCTGCATGCAACATGCCCGAACGGGACTAGACTACATGTGTTAAAAGGATATAAATGTACTTTTATTTAGTTATATTTCTTTATTCTTGTTTATCTTTTCAAACACATAAAGAAAAAGAAAATTCATAATTGTTTTCTCTTTAGTTCTGTCTTCTCTTTGTTTTCATTTTCCTTATTTTCCTTTTCTCATTTTCCTCTCTATCAAACAAAGGCTTTTATCAAACAAAGGCTTAAACAGCTACAATTGTAATTATACTATTAATATTATTAATGTATTCTAACTTGGATATAGCAAACTTTTAGGCAAGTAGATCTCCCTTTTACGTGCCACTTCTTAAGGCTTAAGGTGGTATAATTAGTAATTTTTTTTAAAAAGATAAACAATAAAATTTGTAATTTAATGTTTTAATTTTTCACAGCATTCTAAAATTCTGTGTTCAATTTTTATTGCTGGTTCATAACAGTATACCACCAAGACCTCTACTCAACAGTTTGACAAATGCGAACTATCACGCTCAAATTCGTTTATGCGCGCAAGGCGCGAGTCCACTAATAAGCTTTTCCAACACGTGCTCCGTAATCGATATTTACATTTTACATCAAATTACGGAGTAGAAACTTCACTTAGTATTACCATGAGATCCACTATTAACATGTACTATTCATTATTATTATATTATTGTGTGATGCCTTATAATGCAGCATATGCATTACTGTATTTACATTTTACATCAAATTAAGGAGTAGAAACTTCGTTTAGTATTACCATGAGATCCAATACTAACATATGCACTATTCATTATTATTATATTATTGTGAGCCTATAAAAGTTAGCATATGAATTACTGTACCATGTATCAAATTCAACTGAATTTCAAAGTAAAACAAAGTGTGTCAAATTTCTCTTCTATCTATTTTCATACCACTGATAACATGAAGTTACAGATAAAATAGAAAGTATGCAATCAGTTCATTTTCATTTTTCCAACTACATAATTATCAAAAAAAATACCTACATTTAATGAGCAATTTAGTACTTTTTTGTTCACAAGGTTCTAAAGCTTGATATTAACATTGGCATATGGGGTGTGGACCCGACAAATTTGTCCAAATTTTTTTTCTCGTGCAAGGATTTCATTCCTATGACAGAAGAAGCAGCATTAGCGAGTATTCTCTTTTTCCTGCTGTTGATTTTTCACTCTGGTAAGTGCTTAAATTTCAAGTGCCTGAATGCTTGACATCTAATATAGAATATTAACTAAAGCATATATTAACATACAATTCACTTATAAATATGTCTAGATCAAACTCTTCAATCTGACATTAATTACAACTTGCATCAAATCTAGAAAGAACTACCATAAAGCATTGGAATGGGAATCAAAGCAGTCTATCTAGGCTAAACTAAGCTACTGTTTAAAAATTAGAACATTACATATAGCTCCTATTCATGGAAGTACAATAGTTTCAAATATAAGAATTCATTAGATATACATCATATTGGGATGGGGGTTTTGAGCAGACATCATCTTTCACTTGCAGCATGGTCAAATCAATATCTTTTTAAATTGCTTCAATTGTTCACTCTTAACTTGATTTCCAGATATGTTAGTCACATAGAAAACATTCATGGCTTGGGAATCCCTGGTTGTAACTTCAGCTTGGTTGACTGATAAACCATTTTCTCTAAAGATGCGAGTTACATCAGACAAAAGATCAACCCTGTCTTCCCCACATAGTTCTAGCTTTATGCTCTACAATATCAAATGCAAAATGTTAGTATGACTAATAAATATTGGGCAACAACTTGTGAATTGGCATCCAAATAATGTGTTGTAGTAGTACCTCAGAAGTTCGTCTCCAAATAGTAGCCTCCAATCAATGAATCACTCTTTGCCTTTCTGCTTTAGAACTGATAGGACTTCCATCCACATGCCTACATATTTATATTAGTATTGTTTAATAGTATAGATAGTACCTCAAGTGAGGAATTTTAATAGCAATTAGCAATCACAAACAAGCTGATAGAAAGGGTTTGTACACAAATATGCTTTTGATTTTCTACTTTAGTAACCTGATATACCTCTGGTTCTGCAGCAATGACAACAGTTCCATGGACCATGGTACATAACATATTGCCTGCATGTGAGTTTGCACACGGTATCAAAAAGTAACTTTGGTTTGTCTGGACACCTCAAGTTCACCACAGTGTATCCCTTATGTATGCAATCATCAACTGTTACAACTTACAAGGAGTTTGTTCTTGTCACTTGTTGACCCAGAATTTCCATCTTGTATGTCATAATCACAGTCATTTTCTTCAACTAATGCAGCCTCCTTTCCTGCTCAGTGAACCAACAGAAACAGCAGTGTTGGCACTCTTTTTATCAATGTCTCCTTTGAGCATATACAATAGAAACTGCTTAATCTTGGCAAGGCGATCCAGATTGTTGATGGAAAATCATGTTGCTTCATTCATGATGTGAAAAACAGAAGCCATTCTTGAATTGTGGGTCTGGACTTCTGCTACTACCACATTGCATTTGAGGTCTGTAAGAACAGCAAACACTTATGAGACTGCAACAAGAAAGAAGAATTATCACTGAGTTGAGTAATTCAGATGGATCGATAAAGAATAATGACATGCAAGAGTAAAATTCTTGATTCATGTTTGAAAATGAAAGACAAACTAGTCCTTGTTTTTCAGGTTTTTCAATTTAGTGGTTAATTTAATTTGTTGAAAAGAAATATCATAAACAGTATCATGTCATTATTTCCTTTGTTGGAGTAAAATGCTGATTAAACAATCACTGGTTTTTGCCTTGCATAAAGATTTTCCCATTTTGATCCGGGACATGAAAAACTGGTCAGTGAGCAAAAGCCACGGAAAACAAGATTATAAGAATTGGAAACACAATTCACCAAAGCCATGGCATATAGAAAATTGAGAGATGTATGGTAGATTGAGAAATTCCACATACTTAGTCAATTTCTATGATAACTGTTTAGATTTTAATGCATGCAAGCAATATGGTTAAAGGTGTCAAGGATGGAGAAATATGATAAATTTCTGATAGAATCTACGACATAAAAAAGAGTACCAGCTTCTGTTCCAGGTAGCAATTCTTCTCTGTTTGCATTTTCTTGAAATTTGTTTGACCTCTTGTGCCAACTATAAATACATTAAAAGTTGCTTGCTAACAAAAGTAACATAACTCATTTAAAGTTTTCCATCAAACATTTTGAACCACTTGAGCTATGTTGTATTGATTCTCAAATGGAGGATTAGTACTTTCTTATCTAAACCACTCAACGCTTCCATTTCACCTTTTTCTGTGTTGTTCACATCAGGAGAATCATTGATATTGTTTGCCAAAGAGAGATCTTGACTTTCACAGTTAAGAGTTAGTTCTTTTAGTTTCATAAATATGTTGTCATTCTCGTCCTCTTTTACTTACTCAACTTCATTTGTATCTAATGACCAGATGTGTTTGTCTAGAGAAAAATCAGTTTTTGTCAAATATGATATAGTACTTGGAGTAGAATGCTCTGTCTCTAATTCAAGCATTTTAGAAGTTTCACCTTCCTTCAGAGTTTCATGTCATGCAAGGGATCAAGATACAGTTTTCCACCTCTATGTATTCTGTGGGACATAAACACCAGAGGCAATTGTTCTAGATGATAGGAAACAAGCTTACTTGTTTGCACATGGTCTAGCTAGAACTAGAAATGGTTATGAGTGTAGTAGTTGTCTGCAATTACTAGTTTAAATCTGTCTTCAGACAATGGCTGGATTGAAGTCGGACACACATTTGCCCCTTAAATATTAACAAAAGGTACGAGCATAAAGGTCTTTTCATGAATCATGACCACAATTGTCTTGAATATAACCATATCAATTATAGTCTGCATGTAAGAGATATACCTGAGTTGGATATTGTGTTCTCTTTGAGCCATCAATAGTCCATTCATATGGGTCTATGTACATTCTCCCCTTTTCTAGCTACCTAAAAAATTCCATGAAGTTTCCTGTCAATATGATTAAACAGAAACAGAGGCAACCCCTAGATTAATATTCCTCACGTAAGAGAATTGTTGAGCTAGTAAACTTGTTCAAAACAAATAAAAGTTCCCATGAGCTAAAGATTACAATCCCCATCTTCATTGGCAGTACTGCTTATCATACATAAAATAAAATGATAAGCAATACAACTAGTGAAGATCAGGATCGTAATCTCTAGCTCATGGGAACTTTTATTTGTTTTGAATAGGCTTACTTACTGGCTCAACAATTCTCTTATGTGAAGCATATTAATCTAGGGTTGTCTTTGTTTTTGTTTAATTATACTGACAATAAACTTCATTTTTGAGGTAGTTAGAAACGGGAGAATTTATATAGACCCTTATGAATGGACTACTATGGTTCTAAGAGAACACAATATCTAGCTTAGGTATATCACTCACTCGTAGACTATAATTGATATGGTTCTATTCAAGACAATTGCAGTCATGATTCATGAAAAGGCCTTTATGCTCATTCCTTTTATTAATATTTAAGGTGCAAATTTGTATCTGACTTCAGTGCCAACCACTATCTAAAGATAAATTTAAACCAGTAATTGTAGACAACTATTATACTTAACCATTTTTGGCTTGAACTTGACCATGCGTAAACAAGCCAACTTGTTTCCTTACTATCATCTGGAGCAATTGCCTTTGGCGTTTCTGTCCCATAGAACTGAGGTGAACAACTGTATCTTGATCCCTTGCATCACATAAAACTTTGAAGGAAGATTAAACTTCTAAAATGTTTGAATTAGAGACACAGAATTCTACTCACTCGAGTACAATATCAAATTTGACAAAAAATGATTTTTCTCTAAACGAACACATGTGGCTATTAGATACTAATGAGGTTGAGGGAGAAGTAAAAGAGGAGGAGAAGTAAAAACGAACGACAATAACAACATATTATGAAACTAAAAGAATTAACTGTTAAAGTCAAGATCTCTCTTTGGCAAACAATATCAATGATACTCCTGATGTGAATAACACAAAATGGTGAAATGGAGGCGTTGAGTGATTTAGATAAGAAAGTACTAATCCTTGATTTGAGAATCAATACAACATAGCTCGGGTGATTCAGGATGTTTGATGGAAAACATTAAATGAGATATGTTAATTTTGTTTGCAAGCAACTAACTTTTAATGCATTTATGGTTGGTACAAGAGGTCAAACAATTGACAAATTTCAAGAAAATACAAACAAAGAATTGCTACCTGGAACAAAAGTTGGTACTCTTTTTTATGTTGTAGATTGTATCAAAAATTTATCGTATTCCTCAACTGTTTCTCTATCCTTAATATCTTTGAGCATATTGCTTGCATTCATTAAAATGTAAACAGTTATTGTAGATATTGCTTAAGAACATGATTGAAATTTTCGGTTTGGCCATCTGTTTCATGGTGGTATGATGTGCTCATTTTGAGTTTAGTGCTACATAATTTGAATAATTCACCCCAAAATTTGCTAATGAAGATAAGGTCACAACCAGAGACTAAGCAGCGTGGCATACCATGGTACATATAGACAATGTCCATAAAGAGTAGAGCCAATTTGTAAGCAACAGAAGCAGGGGGTAGAGCACCCAAATGAGCTCCCTTAGAGAATCGATTAACCATAACTAGGGTGACATTGTAACCTTTAGAGTAGGTTAGCCCCATAATGAAATCAAGCGATAAATCTTCCCAAATGGCAAAATGAATAGGAAAGGGCTTTAAAAGGCTTGTAGTGTGCTTTGTCTCATGCTTTATTTGTTGACAAGTGGAAATTGAGTGACAAAGGTTTTAACATCACTATGCATTCCTTCAAAATTAGCTTAGAGTCGAGCTAGGGTCTTGTTAACCCCATGTGACCACTAGGAGGGAAAAATTGAATTATGCTAGGAGGGACATGCAAAAAGGGTTAGCAAAATCAAGCCAATTTCAGCCTTTGTATTGAATATCCCTGGTGGAGCTTATAATCAAGATAAGTTGATGGTTGTTGTTGTATTTGGTGATACATGGTAGTGAAAATAGTGCTTGAAGGGATTGTCGCAATTGATCCATAATGATGAAATGAAGCATAATTAGAGTAAAGAATGCACCAGGTAAGCCATCAAAGGTACGAGACATGGCATCAACAACGACACTACTCTTCCCGAATTTGTATTGAATGGTGTAATCGTATCCCATAAGCTTAGTAAGGTATATTTGTTGCTTAGGAGTTTGAATCACTTGGAAAGAAAGCTTAAAAAATCATAAACTTGTGGAATAAGACATATCGGCGTCACTTTTTATATATATATATATAGAGAGAGAGAAGAGAAACATTGAAAGTAAGTTAAATAATTTTAATAAAAAAAATTTAACATTTTTTAAATATAGTGAAATAGTATAAAAATCTTAAGAGTGAAGATAAATAGTCAAGAGCAAAGTTTACATAGTACTTTTATATTGGTTCGACTTAATTATTGACCATGTCTAATTCTTAATTAATTTAATCAAGTTTCACTATCATTTTTTTATAAAGATACAAATATTTTTTTACAAATCACTTATAGTTTAACTTAAGTATTATTTGCTTTTTCAAGCAACTATCTAAGTATTTTATGAACAACAAAGTCTCTCGAAGCTTCAATAACCTAATATTCTTTCAAAACAAACTAGACTTCAATTATCAAGTATTTTTTACAACAAAACCTTTTCAGACTTCAAGTGATAATTCAAAGTTAAAGCTGATAAATCATTTGTTGTTACATCTTACTATCAAGACGTGATATAATCCAATTAAGTATAAAACTTTTTACAAAAAGAATAATTTTTTTTATAAGATAAATATTTTTTCTTTCTTTTTGTATCTTCAAGCTTATTTATATAGGTGTTTCCTCAAAATAATCGTTACAAATCCTTGAGCATTTCTCACAAACTTACTTCTTCTATCTTCTTCATCTTCCCTCCTTGTAGAGAGAAATATCCATTTATGCATTAAATGTGTTTAACCAAATTGATATTAAAGAAGTTATATATCACCTTCATGATACAAAATGGAGGGAATTATTGCATGTGTATTTTAGGAATGACTTTTTGTTTAGACTTATCATACTTCGAGGGATTTTTTTTTATTTTTTTTATGCAAGGCACATCTTTGTTTTTTTTTTTTAAGTATATGTACCAAAGAAATTTTTTATTCCTTTCAATCTATTAAGGAATAATATATAAAAAATATGATTTGGTTATTAGACATCAAAATGATATATATTAAATGCATTCGTCTTACAGATAAAGTGGTTCATTTGAAAGACTATTGTCTTAATCTAATTTGTCTTATAGTATAATTTGAAAAGCTTTTCTTTGAAAAACATTTAAGTTTGTTATCATTAAAACTGATGCCTTGAAGGAAGTAAAACCGTCTTTTGATCTAACATCTTTTCTCACGGAGGGTATTGGTGTGGATTTTGTTGATGCAACTTGAAGAGCATAATATCCTTGGGAAAATGGCTTGTTAAAGAAAGCAATAGAGTTATCATTTTGCATTAAAATGACACTCATCACCAACCTAGAAGCGTCTATTTCCAACCTAAAAAGAATGGAGAAATTAGGTAGGACTAAAGTTGGAGCTTTTGTCGTCTTTAGAAAGTTTATGTTATGTCTTAACAATTTAGGTCTAGTTCATATAATTTGCTACAACAGGTTTAACATATTACATTTATGATGAGAACCTAATATTTTCTTTCTTTCTTTAAAGACTTTTAACCTTTTGAAATACATAGGGGAATATTGTGTTTTTTAAGAGAATTTCAAAAGGTTTTAGTCTCACATTTTTTTGTTATGTGTAATTTGAAATGTTTATATACTAACACGTTTTAAGAGCTTTCAAACAAGTAGTAGTATGGACTCGTGTGCTATAGATTTGGTCAAGTAGGTCATGTAATGCAAATCCTCTAATCATGTATTCAATAATTGTAGAATCTAAGGATTTGCACTTTTTAGTTTCACCTTGTTTAACCTCAATTAATTATTTATTGAAATTAAATTGAATTTTAGTTTGAGCTTATATGAAAACTTGTTTTTGTGTGATCTTTATTTACTTGGTTAGATATATGAAATAAAAGTTTGTGTTTTTATTATTCTTTAGTGTTTTTAATTCCAACATTCATGTTTTTATTATCTATTTAATGTTTTTAAATTTTGAATTCACTTAAACATATGACAAATCATTCTATTGTTAACCTTAATTTTCTATTGTTGTCCTTATTTTTTCTTCTATTGAATTTTTGAGTTCTTGAGTGTTAGTTTTCTCTTGCTACTTTTGTTAGCTTGATTTGCATCAAGAAAAACCTGTTACATCATAGGATATGTGCATTACATGGAGTCATTGAGAACAACATGATAATTCATGTTAGGTTTTGATTGTCATTTGTGATCTTCAATTATAAAAGTTACATTATTAAGGGTTGGTGGATAAAAAAGATATGAATGTCAAATCCTACATTCTCTAACTTATTTAGCTCATGAGTCAAGTTGAGCTAAATTACCTTGCAAGCTTGCGCTCACTTTAACATCTATAAGGTTGAGAATTTTATACATAACCTACTCTGATTACAATAACATAAAAAATGATATTTAATTACTCTCAATATTAGATTTATTTATTTATGTTTTGACCTTAAGTTGACTAATATTATTAGGGTCATCGTATCCGAAATATTATTTGTTTTGATGTTTGTTAGATCATAATGATTTTGTCCTTGCAAAAGAGCCTTAGTAAGTTATGAAGAAAAAATATTTATAAAGGACTTTTAAATTTTATTTCTAAGCGATGTGAAACTTTTAAACATACTAAAATAATTTGTATATTATCTTTTAGATTAATTTCTTTAACAAAATATCTATTTTCACTGTTTACAATTTTTATTTTCTCTCTTTTTCCCTTTTAAATTTTATTTGTTCTTTTAAAATGTTTATCTTAATGATTATAATTAATTATTATTTAATTAGATTGAGATAAGTTAACGTTTTTAAAAGAAAAACATTAAACTCATTCAACTCAATTAATATAATTGAGTTGATCTAATTTTTATTTATTTCTTTTATACAAAAATAATTTCGAGAATCAAATTTAACTATTTATCTCGATTTTTATTAATAGACCAACCTTAAAAATTATCTTTTATAATCTTAGATTCAATTTGATCCATAAAGTAAACAAATATTTCAAATTTCAAACTTAATAAAAAAAAACAGGATTTTTATTAAAGGACCGAAGTGCAATACTTAAGAAATAAATGACTATTGCTAATTTTCTAAAAAAAAAAATAAAAATTGCAACGACTGGAAACGAAGCGTTTAGATTTAGAACAGAAGATGCAGGTTCGTCGATCTTGCTTCTTCTATCATCATCCTGCATCCCGTTAGGGTTTGCAGATATTCAATTTCCCTTCATTTCGTTACCCTCCACGCGCGTACCATCTCTCAATTCCTCAGTTGTTCCGTTTCCGTAACTCATCAATTCGAAAGATATCGGTATCGGCCATCAAGGTACACAATTTCATTCTCTGAGCTACAATTTGATGATGTTCCTTGTGTTACATCGATGCTTCTCCATCAATTTCAATGAATTCAAATAAATTTTTCTTGCATCATTTGAATGTTTACAAAAATATCTGCGTGAAAAACAAATTGGAGTCTGAATTAATTTTTCTGTGCCTTTAACCTACATTGTGCATTGTGACACGCACCTGTATTCAACAATTGTGATCCCTGGTCGTCATAACTTATGATCCTGTGTTGCAGCTGATGCGTTATTTTTGGGACTCTAATCGTATATTAATTTTTTGATGTTTTCAGGGAACTGAATATTAGGTGCATTTGAATTTGAATTTGAATAGGACGAGTATGTAATAAAGAGATAAAAATGGAGGTCGAGGCACAAATCACACATGATTCAGATACTCAACTCCAGCCAGAGACTGTTGTTTCAGTTCAAAATGGGAATCCTGGTGTTTCCTCAGCTGTTGCAAATGCTGTTAACCCACAGCAGCCAGGTCAGTTTTTGCTCTTTATTCCTATTTCTTATTTAACATCTTTGACGCGTGTCATCGTTGTTGAGATGAGATGTAAAAGGTTTAATTGCTTGTTGTCATATATAGCTACAAAAAAACCGACCAGGCAGTGGGCTGCGTGGACTCGACAAGAGGAGGAAAGTTTCTTCACCGCTTTACGACAAGTTGGGAAGGTAGTGTACATTTATATCTGTTATTACCTTTCTATGTTTGTTTCTTATGGTATTATAATTATTGCTGATTGAGATATCCTTGATTGTAGAATTTTGAGAAAATTACTTCCCGTGTACAAAGTAAAAACAAGGATCAGGTATCCGTTATGACTCCACGTGGCTTTTTAACCCTTTCAATTTTTTCCCATTTCCCCTCCCAAAATGGTTACTTTTTTTAATGCATGGGATTCGAACTCGGTACCAAGGGTTTACCATAACTCACGCACCCTGCTGAACCGAGCTT